CCGCGTAGGCGGCTGTGTGTGACTCATCGTATACCTGCAGTCGTATGCGCGTCTTTCACCGCGCCGCACTCAGGTGCGCGTGCTTCTTTTTAGTCGAGCACTCGCGCCACAGCGGACACGTTTTCGTTATGCTGCTCCGACGCCTCCTTCGCCGTGGCTTTCCGGCCGGCGCGTTTATGTATAGTATAAGCGCGTATCCATGCGTCATCTAGGTCTGTGTGCGTGCATCTGTGGATGCACGTGTGTACGCGTCTTTCACGTGGAAGAGTGGATCCAGGAGCTCTCGTTTGCAGCGTCTATCTCTCTCTCTCTCTCTCTCTCTTTCTCCCTGTCTGTCTCGGGTGATGCAATTTCTAAGCACACCAGCGGTGGACGTAATTGCCGTTTCCATGCGAGAATGTGTGCGTTAAGCGTGCGCGACGAGGTATACCATATGGCGAGGAAACATTGTGCCAAGGTGGCGCTCCGTTACGCTGATCACTTCAGGGCGACGACCGTGTAATGCACCCCTCTACGCATTGTGTCACTTTCTTGAAGTTTCTGCCGGGTGTAATGAACATTAAACCGTATACGCCTCCCAGGTAAGACGGTCGGGTGTCCGTTAAAACTCCTCTCTGCCGAAGTAATCGCTTATACGATGCGTATATTGCTCCATTATTAAGTATGTTTCTCACTTACCGGTGGTGTATATGTTTTAACCTAAATGCAAACATTACGACAGAAGTGTGTCTGGCTGCGTTCATGAGTCTGCGTAAGAATGAAAGATGGGACGGAGGGACTGCGGGCGTACAATAAGTGTACGTCTTCAAATATGGGAATTTAGTAAAAATGAAGCGGTTGCACTGCAAAGAAAGTTGCACATTATAAGATTCATCCCTTCCGTCTCGAAGTCACGTAAGGTCATTTCTGGTTTCTTCAATCTCCTCATCCGGTTTTTCTCGTCTTCAAGACGTTGTAAGTGGTCGCCTTGGCTACTGCTATAAAAAATATAATCAACTAAAAACAGTGTCGAATTATTACATATTCATCTTCAATTAACTATAGGATGTCCAACAGTAGCTAGCTGACTCTATGTAGTGAACTACAACGTGAACTTAGTCAACGGTGCTATTACTACGCGACTGGCACAAAAAGAGAAAAAACGAAACATCTCAGAACCCATCAGGGAGCGTGAGTTCGGCTCTTCCAGCTTTGTAAGGGGCGCTCGCTCGCTTTTAGCGGGCCTCCCGCGGCGCGCAGCTGCCTGAAGACTTCGTTCGTGCTGCGCTCTTCGACGAAGTATGCGGCGCCTAATATTAACTCGCGCAATTGTTCGTCTCTTTCCATTATTTCCTGCGCCGAGGGGAGCATTAATTGCTTCGCCAGGCTCACTGCGAGTTCCGTGAGCTACGCCGTCGTCGTTCGCCGTTAACTCGTTCGTCGACGTACGAGTATCCGTCTTCGGTGGTCTAGTGACTAAGGCACTCGGCTGCTGACCCGCAGGTCGCGGGATCAAATCCCGGCTGTGGCGGCTGCATTTCCGATGGAGGCGGAAATGTTGTAGGCTCGTGTACTCAGATTTGGGTGCACGTTTTAGAACCCCAGGTGGTCGAAATTTCCGGACCCCTCCACTACGGCGTCTCTCATAATCATATGGTGGTTTTGGGGCGTTAAACCCTACAAATCAATCAATCGAGTATCCGTCTTCCAGGCGCACGTGTCGTGAACAGATACGGATGGACCGCAAGAAGCTTTCCAGTACACCATCCCTTTTCGTACTCCCGCTGCTGACGTAGTTTGGAATAGTTATTACTGCGCACTTGATCGGGTTGTTACGGGTGGTGTTCGCTTTTTTTTTTAAAGGCGAAAGCCTTAGATGCGTCATCAAACGCGAAAGCTGGCGGGCGTATACGCTGGCGGCTTCAACGCGAGTGATGCGAAAATCATCGCGTGATGATGTCGCAACGACGTCACAGAAATTTGTGACGTTATAATGACGTCACTGCGACGTCAAATAACGTATCGTCATTCTGTGACAACGTTGCTTGGTGAAAGGTGGACCGATCCCGGAGGCTGTGCAAAAGTTGCAGAAAGCCCCCGATCACAAAGGCCATTGCGAAGACCAAGTTAGCGGCACAAAGTGAGCACTAGACGGAGGTGGATGCGTGAGGGAGGCTACGAGCTTATTGTTTTCCTCGTATATAGGAATAAAAAATACTGCGATAATTCCGCCGTATTAGCGTCACAGGAGTTCGCAGGGTTCTTCTCCAGGGGGAGCTAGGGGCAACTACTTCACTGCAGGGCCACACATCCCGTATCGGTCCATTCGGAAAGGAAACAAGATTGTCAATGAAAGAAAAATGAAAATGAAGCGGTGGTATCTTTCTCACGGTAACCCGACTTTGGTCCTCGGTTTTTCGGGCGCAAAGGTTTGGAGTAAACAGTTCTTCGAATGTGACGTCACGGGAGCTCATCGTTAAAGACCCGCATGTCTGTAACCCTTCACTTTTAACAAAGACCATCACATGCGTATGACTGTTGCGTACCGAATTGGTGCCTCCTGCCTTCTTCCCATGCGCGCGCGCCTATCATAAGCGTTGCATCCAGTGTCATGGCTTGCCTCACTCAAGATGGACGACATAGCGCTCACTGTGCTATTTCACTACACTAAAAAAATAAAAAAAAGGAAGAAGTTCATGGCTGTGTATAAGTATAGCTTTTATGGGTGCACCTCAACCCCCACACAAATCCCTCAAAAGTGACAGTTCTGGCTTAAGAACTTTTTTTTTCCTTCTTAATCTGGAAGCCCAGCCACTAACGACGTACTGATGTATACGGATCTGAGAAGATTCTCTATATATGGAGTCGTCGACAGAGTGTACGCGGGGAACACTGAAAGAACGCGCGTGACTGGCGCGAAAAACTGTTGGCCGGCTAGTTCCTGCAGTGACGCGTAGAGCCGCCGTGTCCAGGCCGCGGGAGTTTCTGAACAGCTGCGTCCGAAAGGTGCGTGTTTTTGCGGCCCTGTTCTGGCGCCCGCCCGCGGTCGTGACTCCGCTGACGTTGCCGACGCCGCTGCCAGTCTCGGCGACGCCTGTCGCGCTGTTGCGCGTCGAGCGAACGAGATTCGAGCTCTGTTCGAAGGCGACGTGCACCTTCTGCCTACTTTCACGGGCTCACAAAACCGCGAAAGCTTCGCGGGACTTGCGTCTACTTGAGGGGGCGAATTCACCCACAAAACTCGGAGGTATACTCCCTCCAACCTCCCGAAATCTTTATGCTCATCACTTTGTTTCGTACTGTCCCCAAGATCGAAGGCGTCCTAAATTCTGATTGATCTGTGGCGTCTCGATGGTGTCTTATGGTGACGCCATCAAGTGATTTTTCTTTTCTTTTTGCGAAACTCGCATTATCACCGACGGCGTCAGTTCTCTTTCTGACGAGGTTTCTAAGGGTCTAACGCTTTCGCCTCGATAGGTGTTCTGCCCCGCCGCGGTGGTCTAGTGGCCAAGGCACTCGGCCGCTAACCCGCAGGTCGCGGGATCGTATCCCGGCTGCGGCGGCTGGATTTTCGATGGAGGCGGAAATGTTGTAGGCCTGTTTGCCCAGACTTAGGTACACGTTAAAGGTGGTCGAAATTTTCGGAGACCTCTACTACGGCGTACGTCATAATGATACGGTGGTCTTGGGATGTTAAACCTCACATATTGTTATTATTGGTAAGTGTTTTCTTGCCATTTGTCACAGCATCTAGACCATGACGTATGCGAACTGCACACCCCATCTAGGACTGTTTGATATGAAATTTTATGGAACGTAAGTATACAGCCTGGCTCTATACTTACTGACGCGTGTTTTCGCGTTGTGCTGTAGTTCTCGGTTAATAAAGAAAAAGGGGCGAGGGGGGTCTTCAGCGGGCCACTTGATCACTCTATTAGGCTAATGTGATCCACATTTTACTATAGAGATCGGGTAAGCCGGAGTTTGTGTGATGCTGCCGTCGTGGTTGCTCGGCAGACCAAAAAGAGCCAAAAAAAGAAAAACAAAAGGAAAAAGACAGAGAGGGGGGGGGTGAAAACTCGGCGTTGGTGGCGGCGGCGTTTCGCTCTCCTGAACGCGGACAAAGTGAAACGCTCGGCTGATGGTCCACAGCAAAAAAAAAAAAAAAGTATCTTCAGATGCGCGCGGGCCTCGTCTCTCATACACTCTTAAAAAAAAAGTAGTGCTACTTGCTACTTTTGGGTAGTAACAGTTTGTCACATATGTTACAACCCTGTTAGTAACGGGAGTTAGTAACGGCAAGCGTAGTCACTGTTACTACTCTTGCCGTTCCTAGCAGCAGCTAGTAAAAGCAAGGGTAGGAATCCTTACTACCGTTGCTGTTACTAACAGCAGGTAGCAACAACAAGGGTAGTAACTGTTACTGGCCTTGCCATTACTACTTCCTGTTAGTAACGGCATATGTAGCAATAGTTACTACTACTCCCATTACTATAATATGGTTGTAACATATGTGACAAGCCGTTGCTACCCAAAAGTAGCAAGTTCCACTACCTTCTTCCAAAGTTACGAAGCTAATATGTTAGTAATCGATGCTACGTTCTTACTAGCTACGGCTGGTATGGAGGTACGACAGACTCTTCGAATACACAATTGTGTGCACACCAGGTTAGTTGAATTGATTATTCTGATGGCCATATTTTACCGAGAACATTGTAGCTGTAATGAATGCGACGAAAATGCGGGTATATATACCAATAATATAGATATGCACTATACATATAAAATCAGAATAATTGCCAATGTATTGCATCATGGTATTTAGCACTTTTTCTTGGAAAACACCTGGTTCTGTTCCACACTGCGAAATATATTATCATGAAAGACACTACGAACACACCTCCAAATTCACTGCTGAGTGTCAACGGCCGTATAAAACCACAGGTTTATGCGGCTGACATTGTCAGGAACAAAACAATGCATTGTTCCAAAGCCAGGGAGCAATGAAATATGCCACACAGTGCATTTTTATATGAAAACATTTATTGATAACACACGTCTGTAGGCATAACTTAAGTTGCCTTTTCAAGCGATGATATTTGCCGTATGACTAGCGGCATCTGCTTTGCACTTGTCGGCAAGCCACAGAAATGTTCAAGTAGAGTGAATGTTTTTTTGTTGGCGCCACTGTACTTGACATCGAATATCCAGTATATTTCCATAAGCGCCGTCATACCTGCAATTACATCAAGCACCTCTACACTAAGCCCTTCAAAGCTCGCAACTATGTTTGTAGCTTCAGAGGCATTTTTGCCCTTCAGCGAAAGGGCAGGGTAGGTGTCCTGTAAAATGAGTAATACATAAAATCAGCATCACTGATGAAAAGTATACTAGCTGATATAAAAAAAGGTAAAGCAAATAAGCTCACCGGTCCCTGCAGAAATCGCGGCTGCTCCTTTAGGAGCATGGGCAGCAACTCGACAATGCCAACGGCAAAGCGATCTGTTGACGAAATATTTTTAGGCACATCAACTTTCACATATAAGGGCATTGACAGTAATACTCCTATGAAAATGACTTATAAAAGTTTGGAAATTTGGGAAAACTGGAAAAGCTGGCAAGCTTCTACACGTACATTTCTTTTCGTCACCATCCAGTGCCTCGACTTCTTCTTCAATTGCTTTCACAGCTTCCTTCGCGCAACGACGACACTTCGCAAGCTCAAAACACCGGTCTCCATACCGGTTTATAAATTCCAGGACCTTTTTTTCTAAGTTAACGCCAGTGAGAGCAATGAACTCCTCATGAAGCTAGAACGACAAAAAAATTGTACCGAATCACCAACAAATTTGCAACTATCGATAACATAAAAAAACTCATTGTTAAGTTCTCTCACATACATTTCTGCAGCAGGATCAAAACCACAGCTGTTTCTGCTCACCATTTCAGCCTTTGCCAAAGCAGGGTATTTCAGCACCACATCTGCTGTTGATGGCCTCATTTCCTTCATCCACTTCTGTCTAGATGGTCTTGTCTGCTCCATAGAATCACCGAGTTTTTGCATGTCAGGAATAGGCCGCTTGATTTCTTTCACCATGTAGTCAATATGGCTATTAATTGTAGCCTCATCATGCTGAGAAGCGACATGTTGGGAGAGATCTACAATCTAATCAGCAAAAAAAAGATGGTACTGCACAGTGAAAGATCACGACAAATGACATGAAATAGGCAGACATGAAAACTCAACTTTTTGCTAGCTCAGTTGAAGAATGTTGGCATTTTTTTGAACTGGACATGTGTAGAGAACTCAATTACAGGGTTTGACTTACGTAAGAGAACTAGCGAAGTCTGAGGGGGGGGGGTTACCTCTTCGTGGTAAATTTTCTATTTTGCATGTGCATATATGCACGTACATATACAATCGCATGCGCGAACATACGTACAGTTCAGATTCCCTCCCCCACCCCGAACAAAATGTCTGGTTACCCTTATGGAGTTCAGGGGTGCTATTCTGGACACTGTATAATTCCACCATAATGTCAAATTGCGTAATGACGGAATTTTAGGCCAATCAAAGAGGTCGTAGTAATCCACTAAGTCAATCAGCATTGATCAACGGTAGAATTTGACCACATGGCGGCATTTGGGAGTGTCCAGACTAACCCCCCGATTAAAGCGACGCTAAGGAACAAAACTATTTTTCTCGTATTAGTAAATTACAATTTCCCAATGCCGGAAACGCCACTTTCACTGCGACATGGCACTTGGTAGCCTAGAAACTACGCTGTGAGTGGAGACGCTGCCTTGGTATTCCCACCGTGACATCATAAATTTTGACGCCGTTTACTGGGTCCTACGTAGCTATAGTCGATAAAATTAAAGTACATTTTTCATCTGTAAGTGCCAAAAACTTAGCATACGATGTTTCAGAAAATTTCATTAACGCAATGTTGCGACAATAAGAAAAAATACATTATGAATCAGTGACGTCACGTGCGGAGATTTCGGCGCGAAATTTTAAAATGAGACTTCAACCTTGATTTTCTCCGCTAATAATGAACTTATGACAGTGAAACTTATGGCATTAGAGTTTTCAGAGTGCAGTTTATCAACCTAATCCGAGTCATTGTTTCTCTCTAGTGTCCTTTTTATTTATTTATTTATTTATTTATTTATTTATTTGTCATACTGTTAACCCTCACTAGAGGGTCGTTACAGGGAGGGTGAAGAATTGAGTTGCACAAAATTAATGATTTGAAAAATCGTAAGATGAACTCTGTAACATATAACATAATTAAATGAGAAACACAGTGACATGCTTTTTCACTTAATATATTTACAACATGATCTCTATGACGAATGAAACATTTATAAGGAAACACATACATGAACACTGCAAACTATACATTCTCAACAAAATGTCTATCAAGAGCAACCTCAAAATCACTCAAAGTTCTCATTTGCACCATATCGTTCGGTAATTCATTCCACATATTAATAGCATCGGGAAGAAGGAAAATTGGAAGATATCTGTTTGAGCATGTATTGGTTGTATGAATGTAGTGCATGTTGTTCTCGGAACCTTTTGTAAGAATGCTTCAAATAATCATCCCTGTTTATTTTCACCCCTGCATGCAGGATCTGAGAAAGAAGTTTCAACCTTTGTTTCCGCCTTCTTAATTCTAGTGATTCTAATTTACATTCTTTTAACATTTCAGTAACAGAATCCTTTCTTCGATATTTGGAGCAGATGAAGCGAGCTGACACTCTCTGAATGCGTTCTAATTTATTTTTTAAGACCCTCTGGTGTGGGCTCCACACAGCGCTAGCGTATTCTAATCTCGGACGCACATACGTTTTGTAGGCAACCAGCTTGGCATCTTTTGTGGCTCGGCCTAACTTCCATCGTAGGAAGCACAACTTTTGACATGCTGATTGACATATGTTTTCGACATGAGGACGCCTTAAATAAGAGTAGCAGTACCCTTTAAATAAGAGTAGCAGTTCTTGAACCGATGCTCCCTCGGTGAAGCTACTGCGGGTTCGTTTCAGTGAACACTGCCCCTAGAACGCGGCAGTGCCGATGCTTTATGGCGACGCCTTTTCTGGGGCTGTGCTTTTTCGTGCCCTTAGCGCTTGGCCGGTCGTGAGAGTGGCAGACCGTCCACGTTATCCAAGGATTCAGCCGGCCGGGATTGTTGGATGACCGAAATGGCATAGAATAATGCATCGCGACAAACTGACAGCCCTGTTGTGGTCGCGCTGAAGTGTTGACTTTCTACTAACCTTTAGATGTAGGTGCATGTTTTTTTTTACATTTTTTTACATTTCATTGAGGTTGTTATGACCACATTTCAAGAAATGCACAACACTGATTAGACCCATAGTCATAGGCTAGTAAGGGGTCTAACGGGAGAAAGTATACAAGGAGAATACAATTTGTATATAAGAAAAAAATCAAAACATCAAAAAACGTTGATTTTTCAACAAACAAACAAAAATACAAGAAGATACACATTGTTGCACTTTGTTCATAATTAATGAAATAATCAAGTATAGACGTAACATCAAACTATGTGTAAGGCTTAGTACATGGTCATTACTATTGATCTACATGTAGCAAATATTTTTTGATTGCGCTCGAGAAAACCCTAGAATCTTTAATCTGAAGTGGTATGTTATTCCACGCTTTAGCTCCTACGACCTGTAGTAAGCGTTCACCATACACGTTTTTAGTGGGTGGAAGATTAAAATTCCGCAATGTCATGCATTCAGTGACGCGTAGGGGCTTGTATGACCCTTGAATGCCGAAGGCTAGAGGCGCCCACATTCCCGCGATTCGAGGTCTCTCTTGATATCGAGTGACGCCACGCGGTGATCGATCAAACTAACACGGCGAGCCGTCTATACTGTCGAGAGCGATGCTGTGCTACAAGCGCAATTGCCGAGCAATGCTCTCGACAGCGTATATTGCTCGCCACGAAACGACGCACACGGCGATTTACACACGCGGTCACGTGATCTGTGCACTTTAGTTCGCGCTCACGTGTCTCTACAATTGTGTTTAATGGTTTTACGTGAGAAATTCACCATATTATCAAGAGACACGCCGTTAGCAAAGGGCTCCGGCAATTTATTCGGTCATCTGGTGTGTTTTTTTTCGCCGTGCATGTGCTGACAGCTCAGTACACGGGGCATGTAGAGGTCCGCCTCCATCGAAATGTGACCGCCGCGGTCGGGATTGAAATTGCAGCCTTCGGGTCAGCAGCCGAGTAGCGTAGCCGCCATTCCACCGCGCCATTCCACCGCGTTGGACCGTACGTACCTTCAAGGTTGGCGGCTGGCAATATAAGCACGCAATGGGACGCGCTGTCGTAACACTGTGTTTATACGTGCCCGGGAGGCAAAATTTAGGACAGCTACCGTTTCGAGGGAAGGGGGACGTCATCCACCGTCGGCGGCGAACGATATATTCTACTTCCCTTCACGTGACGGCTAGGAAGTATGCTGCGTTAGGCAAGTGGTGCAATTTCTTTATTTTTTGTAATCAATGAATTAGTCATGAACGAGTTTTTACTCTCCTTCTTTCTCTCTGACGATATTCGTGGAGCGCAGGGCTGGCAGCGAGCGTGTGCATTGACTAGCACTCTCCTCTGCCGTGATTTTTCATTGAATCACGCGAAAGTTATGTGCCTGACGTTACCTTTCGCGTGATTGAAAGAAGAAGGCAACGGAATCGCCAGAAAAATTGGACAACGTCCAAAAGCGAAGGAGGCTGTCTGACGAATCCCACTCGTCACGACGGGAGCTGGATGCCTGTTCAATTTTGTGATGTCGTCACTCTGGGAATCATAAAAGATGGAAAACGTGGGCCTGTCGTAAAATAATACATATAGCAGAGGGGAAAATGAAAATTCAGGGTGCGGATCACCCACGAAGGACGTCGGCTGCTCTCTCCGATGGAGTGTTATCGGCAGCGATAGAAAATTCGTAAGATCGTCATTTTTGTTCCGTGAAATTCAGCTGATTCAGAGGCGACTCTTTACGTAGAAAAAAAAAGACAGACAAAAAGATCCCAAGGATGTAATTCTAGACCATTATGTAGTTGACAATTTCACATCGGACGGAGAGCGTGATTTTTCGCCTACTTTCATTTCTTCCAAATTATGTGACAATAATTTTACCACAGCTTGGAAAGCGACAAATAAATTCTTGTAGGCTTTCCTTGTTTTCAATTGTTAGTTGTTCTGAGCAAAGTAACGCGATTGTGACGACGATTTGCGTTTGCGTTACTTGCGCTCGTACTTTCGTTGCCAACTGTAGAGGAAGCACCGTGCACAGTGGAACGCGAATGATCCCGGTGGAAAAACTGAAGTCCCTCTTCGGTTTTCGGTGCACGTGTGCGCCTTAAAGAATGAGTGAGGAGGGGGGAGAGAAAAAGTCCACAGATCGAGCGATAGCAGCGGGCAGACAGCGAGAAACACGCACGCATTCACATGTACACTTGCGACGGGAACGGGAGGAGAGAGAGGACTCCTAGAACAACATCCTTCTCGAGCTCTGTATTGTCTCCTTCCCGTGTTTGTGCGGCTGGCGGGCGAGGTGGTGAGAGGGAGAGAGATCGGACCGTGCACGAAGATGGGTCCAGGGGGACGCGGTGTTTCCGCTGCGCGGAGGAGGTGGCTTGGACAGTTTTTCGTTGATTGCGTCGACCGTTGGGAATGCGTGCCTGGGATGCCTTTCCGGTCGTTGTGCTGCGCCGACCGGGCTTTCGAGACGTTTTGCTCTGTTCCCGCTCGTCCGCCGGTCTATAGTCTGGTGTTCGCTCCGGTTTAGAGGTGACGTCACGCCGGCGCGTCCATACTTTCGCCCCGGGAAGTGCGATCTTTCAAGTGAACGAGACCCTCAAACGATGCTTGCGCGCCTTTCTATATGTGCTAGCCTGAACTGTAGATTCGAACTTCGTTTTTCCATAGCTTTCAGGCGCGAAAATCTATACTCTTTAGCTGCGGTTGCTGAACGAAGGAAGCACCGCTGTTAAGTCCGCCTGCTGGGGGCGTGTGTTTCTAAAATCCTTGCGACAAGTTCGCCGGTGTTTTGTTTCTTGTTTTTGGTTTTTTCTTCCTGCGTTTGGCTAGTTATGAGCTCGAAACCGTGTCCACCGCATCCATTCTCCTTTTTTTTTGGAGCGCCAACTTTATGCAAGCTGCATAAAATTCTACAGTCGAGGCTTCATTTTCAGCACAAAGAAACACGAAACTTTGCAGCCGCGCACGCTATGCGCTGACCTTCTACGCTTGACAGTTTGGGCGT